GTTATAGAGAAGCCTGGCACAGAATAACCAGCGGTCATCAGGTTTTAAAAAGAACTTAAGGCACAGTAATATATTGTCAACAAGTAAAGTAAATTTTGTTTCCAATTTACAGTTAATGAAATTTTGAAATGAAATGTAAAATTTCCTTGAAAAGAGTAACACTGAAGCACCTTATGTCGCACGCCATTGTGCAAATAAAAAATAAATATTATTATGCTAATAAAAAATGCAGCATTTATTTTTATTTAATTTCTTATTGTGTTTATAAGCAACAATGTACTTTATTTTTTTCAATAAAGGTGTTATTAAATAATTAATGTATTTATTCATTTATATTTTTACATTGCGTTCATTTTCCAACTATGTCTTCTGCGAACAACAAAATGAGTTAATAAAACACTATAGAAAATGCTATTATAATTAGTAGTTGTTAGTTAGTTAGTTGTAGCATAAACCACGATCTTGTCTACAAAACAGGACTGGAGTGTGCATCTGGAAAAAAATATTTCTTAATAAGTCAATTTTCATGTTTCAAAAGATTCTGAGCATTTCTGGAAAAGTAATTTTTGGTTATTTCAATTGAATCCAGATTTAAATCCCGGTAGACACAATGCAATTTCTACATGTACTTTTAGCATTTAACAATTGCTGTTAAATATTTTTGACGGTGAATTTTTTGCAGTAGCCGCCATGCAATTTTTGCTGGCAAAATGTTTTTTAAATTTTGAGATAACATTAACAACACTCTTTAGCGTTTGGTAATGTTAATTCTGTTACATTTAGAGCTAATTGTTTATTGACTTGTTTTATACTAGTTTTTAAATTTCTTGGTTATATTTTCCAATACCTACATACCTAACGAAATTGTCCATTGGTACTTTTCATAATAATATATTTGGAAGGCGAAACTTTCTACAATTACTAGACTCTGTCTATACGAGGTGCTTGTTGAACATTTTTTCCACTTAGATGTTTCCAGTGCGATATCTAGTACCTCAAAGTTACATTAACCCTTTTAGGGTAACATTTCGTGAATTCGACTTTATTCACATTTTCAATAAAGGTTAAACTAAGTTTATAAAAACAAACTGTTTGCGTCGATTTACGGGCACAAATTCGGGGAAAATTAGCTGCTATTGTGTCTATAGCGCTTAAAGAACCAAAACGCCGAAAAACGTACAGAATTATACTAAGGACGCGGATCCGTCTGTTGTAATTCAGCATAATATTAACTCTACACTTATTGATAATTTTTTTAACAATACTTTCTAAACCTTAATTTCTTTTTTGTCTGAAAATTTAATGGGATTTCGACATTTTTTGAGAAAATACTGGCGTAAAAATGCAGCATCGAAACATTGACGACCTCACAGCGGCCATGTTGGTTGTTGGGTGCCGCAAAGCCTTATGGGTCGAACTTTAGAATTTGCAATTAGAGGCTGCCATTGGTTAAAACCAAAATTTGAAATCTTGCGCGTGCGCATATTTAACAGACCGTCTCAAAATTTTGTGACATAGTTGCTTCATGAGTTCCTGTACAATTAGCATAGCATAGCTATATGTCTAATAGCTATATGTAGTTACCAAATGAAAAGTTGGGTTTTTCGATATGAATAAGAAAAATATTGCAATAATTAAATAAAAATAAATAAAGTAGCATTTTCTGGAAGTACCTGGAAAAACAACTTTTCTAATTTTCTGGATTGGCTTTTATTTATTGTTTCTAATTACTTAAGTGTTTTCTTGAAAATAATTACTAAATAATAATTATCATTTTATCAACATTTCAGTGATCCCTTTTATATTGTTTAAATCACTTTTGGTATTAATTATTAGAATTTTTATTTAAATTAATTCTGTGGTTTGCACTGTTGTAGTGGTTTATTATTATGTGGTTTATTATTTTGTACACATTCGGACCAAATAAATACGTTTCTTTAAAGTCGAGTATCAAGAATCCCACAGGTTATTGTTTCAGTGGGTACTAGGCAAAACAGCGTTAGGTTTGTGTAAATAAAATTGTGTGTGGAAGAGGCTCAAGGAGATTGTCTACTTTAGCCAAAATGGCTGACTCTTGATGGTCACCAAGTGGGTTGGGTTTTGAGAAGTCGCTTTGTAGAGAAAATTTTAATAATTAGCAATTCGGAATGAAAATGTCACTTATTCACGAAAATCTACGGCGTTGGAAAGATGGGTATCCTACAGAAGATACAACCACGACTGCAGAAAGAGGAACCAAAAGGCTTCAGCGAAAAATTGTCTTATTTCCTATGCAGACTTGGAATAATTTAGTTTATAAAAACAAATGCTTGTCCAGGATGTTAAATTTGTTACGTCAGTTGAAAATGAGGAGGTCACGTCTCTTTCGTAGAAATTGTCTGTTGTGGGGCCTATAGTTGAAGATGAGTTCTTAGCAATTAAAATACTAAATGGGAGTAAGATTCTAAAGCCAAAGCCAGAAAATTCGATGACGAAATTACTAGTGACTTTGTCATGACGAAACGTCTTCAAGACGACAGATATCGCAAGGTACCTGATGAAACAGCCATATATATTAAAGTGTTTTCAGAAAGACCATTAGAAAAATCAATAAGAGATTAAAGCAGAAAAGAAGGAAAAGAAAGAAACTAAGAATTATTCTAAAACAGAAGGAACTTTGAAAAGTGTGAAAGCTGTAAGTGATCAAGAGCAGCTTCTATGGTACATAAATTCAGAGGCAACTACACACGTAAGTTACCAGAAGGATTTATTGCCATGTTTTAAAACTAGAAGTGAATCGCAGGTGACAGCTAATAACCAAAAAGTGTCAAGTTTTGGTGTTAGCAAGGCACAAGTGTCTATCTCCCCAGGTATAAAAATCATATCTGAAATAGTGTATGTCCCAGATTTGAGAGACCTTCTGTCGGATAGTAAGGAGGTAGAGAAAGAGCATGCTCCAGTTTTTAACACAAATCTCAATCTCAATAGAATTAGCATCACATGGTTAAACAACAGCATGGCAATAGACAAGTGATCAAAAAGCAGATATTTTAGTTTTATCGAATAAAATTTTATGTACCGGTTTCATGATTGTGTTCGGCAACTGCTGATGAGTTTATTTGTCTTAGTCTTAAGGCTCTTTCATGTTCTTTGAGCCTGTAAACTCCTGGTATCTTCAAAATTTCATCCGCAGTTGCCGAATACAGTCACGAAACAGGACATAAAATTTTATTCGATAAAACTAAAATTCTTGCATGTAATCAATTCTTCTGCCACCCTCTCAAACAATATATAAGCAAGGACAGAGTAAAATGCAAGCCAGTGAAGAAGACAACAGGACGCAGTAGAAATCCAGAAGTTTTGTAATTAGTATTACAGTAGCCTGTGGAAGTTTCTTTGAAAAAAAAATTGTACAGTTTGTCACTTAGGAAACCGAAAAAGCAACGGATTGAAAAGGTTGGAGGTAAGCAGGCGAACGAAGTCCTCGAGCTTGTTCACGGGGATCTGTGTTGACCTATCTTGTCCTGAAGCAAAGTATGTTTCAATTTTAGTAGGCGATTTTTCTAAAATTGAAAACAGAAGTTCAAGATTAAAATGATAAGAAGTGATAACGGAAAAGAATACATCAACAAAATCATGAAGGATGATCTGACCTCAGATATTAACATATAACATCCAGTTACTGTACGTTATACACCCAAGCAAAATGGAATAGTAGAACGAACAAATCGCATCATTGCAGAGAAATCATAACATGAAGCTAACGGTGAAGAGAAAATGTGAGCTGAATATATATATATATATATATATATATATATATATATATATATATATATATATATATATATATATATATATATATATATATATATATATATATATATATATATATATATATATATATATATATATATATATATATATATATATATATATATATATATATATATATATATATATATATATATATATATATATATATATATATATTCTCATGGAAAAATATGATGACACTATTATATTCCGGGATATCATCCGTTCGCTCGTTGAACTCCGACTGGAATCCTGCAAGTGTTCGAAGTGTTTTCGGAGCGCGAGCATTGAAGATGCCAAGTGAGATTTTGGCGAAACGTCTGCAGGATTCCAGTCGGATGCAGGATTTGCAGGATTCCAGTCGGAGTTCAACGAGCGAACGGATGATATCCCGGAATATAGTGTCATCACATTTTTCCATCCGTGAATCAATACGTGAGAATATATATATATATATATATATATATATATATATATATATATATATATATATATATATATATATATATATATATATATATATATATATATATATATATATATATATATATATATATATATATATATATATATATATATATATATATATATATATATATATATATATATATATATATATATATTAATATTAACCATCTATCAAAGTACTTTTAATTTAAGCAACCTTAAATTATGGAGAATTTTGTGCCTTCCTACCGTTCTTTTATTGATTGAGAACCAGTCTACCATGCTGACAAATTTTTATTATTTAACTGTCAAGATACAACCGGCGTATACGTTTGTATTCGCGTCAGTCAGTAAACCAACCAAAACCATATTATTATCTCAAAACAAACCTTGTGTTGAAGTTCATAACAATTTCGCTTGCGAATGTCTGTTCAGGATGTAATTTAATTCAAGACAAGGAACTTGGGAGACGTTAGTGTTTGATGCTAAAGATTTTAATTTCATTCAATGCTAACTTAAACGCACAGTAAATCTCGCCTCGATTAAGATTACCTCCAAGATGATGCTATCTATCAAACCCCTATTAGACAAACTCCGTCAGCGGCGTTATGGTTCAAATTTCCCCTTATATTATTGCGAACACGCCTCCGGTCGCCGTGAGAAAAACTTAAAAGGTTGCTTATCCCGTTCGGGAGCGGTGAGCTTTAACGGAATATCGCGAAATAACGAAAATCCACTTTATAAAAAGGGTAAATACTCACTTTTGGAGCAGTCTATCCCCTGAAAGCCGTCAATACAATCGCATTTGCCCAGGTAGCAAGATCCTCTGCCAGAACAATCGTTCGGGCATGTAGTGCTCACACCCTCGGCTTCGCTTATGACCAATGATACGCTGTGCGGTTGGAGTTCGTCGTTGTAAACGGAAAGAAACCAGCGGCCTGTGTCCAAGTATTGGAGCAGGCTGACGTTTACCAGCATCGGCTCGTATTCGACGTCCCTCTTTTCGATTACGTGCCGCTCCTCGACGGAAATTCCTGAAATTGAAATCGAAGCTGTTTGGAAATTTTCCAACCTGGCCCTGATAGCAAAGATAACATGCTTCCATTTTAATATGTCCAGGATGTCCAGGTAAATAGAAGACAAAAAATGTAGAGTTAGCAGCTAAGTTTTTTCCAAAACACCGAGAAAAATACTAACAATTCAACAGAACACAACAATTTGATGAAGAAATTTAGGAATAGATTATCGGATATCACTTATGCTCGAAGAAATAATTAAACAAATAATCAACCGCGAGATATAAACGAACTTTATTATCATATTTCTTTATTATATTGTCTAAACGAAAATAATTCTATAAATAAATAAAAAATAATTCTACTTCTACCGTTAGTTTGCTAAAAACCTTTGATAGTACACCATCCCGTTTGGATTCTTTTATAAAACAAATAGACACTTTTCACGGTAATTAAATCGAAAATACTAGAAACAGCCGAAGACTTTTTATTTACTCGACCAGACCTTACAACTTGGGGCGAGATAAGATTAGCTTTAACGCAACAATTCACTGATCGAATCTTTCGTGCGCATCTTCAGCAACAATTAATATTTTTATTTAAGAAAAACCCAAGATTATGTCTAAAAACTCAAAGCCTTAGTCACCAAAATCAATACCAAAATATGTTCTGAAATTCAAACTGCGGAAGCAATATTAATTTCTCAAAATGAATTAACAGCAACACAAAATCTTTGGGAGAATATTTAGATGTAGATAATACTATTGACATTATTACAAACAAATTACGAAATTCTAACAAGTCAAAGTCAATTTAAAATTAATTATCTGCAAAATAGTAACCTAATGCAGCACAATATACAGAAACCAATCATATTTTGTCAAACACCCAAAGAGTATTCAATACCTCTTGAACACCCTAATCAAACTTCACATTAAAATCAATTCTTCAAACTTCAGAATCGATTCTTTAAACTTCATAATCAATTCTTCAAGCCACAAAACCAATTTGTCAGGCGACCCTTTCAGCACCTCTAATCAAAACAACCCGTAGAACTATAAAAATCAATACCCCCCATCCAATGTCAGGTGTAGGTATAAGACCACAATATAATCATTTCCAACCCAAAAGTAAACCAAACTCTTCCAATTTAATATTGATATTATTTTCGATTGACTGTTTTTTTTCAAGATGTCCAGATAAATAGAAGGAACAAAATGTAGAGTTAGCAGCTCTGTTTCTTCAAAAACACCGAGAAAAACATTAACAATTCAACAAAACACCTTATTCTAGTTACAATTATATAACACACTTTGTATTTTATTCCACCAGAGTGCTACGACTGAAAATTAAAATTATGCTTATATTTGACAAATCTCGAATCAGTATTGATTAACACTGGCAAGCTATTGACATTACTATCATTATTAAAATTGCGTGTTGCCAATTTAGCATCCGAGATAGAAGTGATGTGCTTGAAATATATTTTTATAGTAACAGAAGGTTACGCCAGTATATTGGATTTCATCCAGAGCTACGAACTTAGACTTAAATCTAGAATAATAAAATAATTTAATTTATTTTTATTTTTGCTAATATGGAAATAACTCTTGTTATCTATCATTTGTAAGTTGTAATTTATAATAAAATAATGCTATGATAGCAAGGTCGTCTGCATATCCCATAATTTTAACGTTTCGTGGTATTTCTAATTTTAGTAAGAGAAAAGGACCGAGAACGGATCCTTGCGGTACTCCACAAGTGGTCTCTGTTATATTGCTGTTGCCCAAAAGCAACTCCGTGTTTTCGAGGTAACTTGTCAACATGCGCATAAGATACTCTATGCTATATATATTATATATATATATATATATATATATATATATATATATATATATATATATATATATATATATATATATATATATATATATATATATATATATATATATATATATATATATATATATATATTATATATTCGATCTGGTTCAGGGGCTCTTTTTGTTTTTAATTTGCTGGATGCTATTTTAAAGAGAGGAATGTCATACATATACATTACATATATTGGGGACCGCTTAATTTTTTCTTTCTTGGGAAAAAGTTTTCTGGCTTCTTCCAGCATAGCCTCGTCGTTCATAAGTAGGGGTCGTCTCATGCAAAATGCTTTTGTCACTATATTATATCCCAAACCCCATATGTATTTTCGACTTCTTCCACCAATTTTTTCCATACCTTTTTCTTCGCTTCCTGGATTGCCTTTTTAAGGAATGTTCGTTTTTCTTTATACCGCTTTAAAGCCTTGTTTTTTTCTTCTTGACTTGTGTTGCGTCATTTATTTTTCCTGGTCATGATTCGTTTTTTGTTCAGACACTCTTTTCTTAGTGCAGATATCTCTGGTGTCCACCAGTAGGTAGGTTTCTTTTGCCCTCCTAGATCCCTTCTGATTTTAAAGGCTGGCATTTGTAATGATATCGGACCATGTTTCTGGGGTGATATTCTGGTTAGTTTGGTTTGCTATGTCTTGTCCCAGAGTTCCTGGTCCAGAATTTTGCATACATCTTTTACTTCATTCATTGTGTTCGATTTTCTTTTAACAGTTTTTCGAAATTATCATTCCACTTATTTGTGGTGATAGGGTATACTAGCTCTCTCTTCTTGTTTTGGCGTAGGGATTTAAGAACGTTTCACCTTTCGCTGCTTTTTATTCCTCCCAGAAAGGTATTTAATTTGGTGTATTTTTATTCCCATGACTCGTTTTTCTTACAAGGGTTTATAACATCATGGGAACCAATTAGTGAACGAATCATGCGGACGTAAACTGACGATATTCGGAGTGTACGCAATCAACGACAATGTCCCAACAAAAAGGACTAGTCTTCGAACAGCTGCACTGAGAGATATCAAGCATTGGCAGCTCAAGAGAATGGATTCTTCCAGCATTCCTGGATCCATAAGTACACAAGGGAAAGAAAATCAAGAAACCTACTATCTATAATAGATTATACCATTATCCGATAGACCACATCTATGAAAGTTTGCGACGTTCGGGTACGTAAAAGCGCAGCGAATCATCATTTGCTCAAAGTTAAGATCCTTCTACTACCAAACTTGAATAGAAGACAAAGCCAAGAGTCCGGACAAGAACAAAGCCAATCTGCGGAAATAAGAGAACCTAGATATAATTTAGAAAGCTCAGAACATGAAAATACCAAAGACCTATACAAAAAGAGACTCGAGCAAAAACTGCAACAACAATAATGATACAGAGCATTACGAATATATTAATTAAGCAATGCCTAAAAGAAGCAGCTCAAGAAGCGTTGGGATACTGTGACGAGAGGAAATATTATATACCCTATTGATGGGACGAATAAATCGAGAAGGATATTAAAGATAACAAAAAGAAATATCAAAGTAAAAGGTGAAGTAAATGCAGCAACGACAGGAGCACAACAACAAGCACAAACCCTGGTAAGCAGAAATACGCTAACTCATAAGAAACCTGTCAAACAACTTTAAGGTAATCATAAATGTACGGAAGCAATATGCCCTAGATTGAAGCAAGTGTTATGTTATTTACACATCGGTGAACCAATATGCACAAAATTCAAAACAATTCATCCCTAAATTTGGAAAGCAGTTAATTTTAGCATTAATTTTAAATTAAATTATTAAAATTGAAAAAATTATTAATCATTTTCATTTTTCAGACCTAATCAGCTTCGTATGAAATATTTTTGGTGTGTTTATAATTCCTGAAAATTACTACTATATTAAGTCAAAAAATTTGATATTTTCCATTCTGGCAAGTAGAAACAAAGTTTTTAACGCTAAATTAAGTTGCCTTTTGAGACCACAAAAATAAAAACAGGAAAAAATAAAACAAACCAACCGAAAGCATAAAAAAAAGATTTCTCTCCAGGGCACGAAACATGATCAATTTTTCGAGAAAATTTTCCTCGAGCGTACTCGAAATTTAATAAAATCCGAAATAAAACTTCCCTCATGGCGAAAATCTACATTGCTGTTCGTCAAATTCGAGCATACCTTTGAGAATTTGGCTAAAAGTATAATACGGGAACGTTTTCTTTCGCATTCCGAGAAAAGTTTTTAAGAAGCAAAATACGACCCGCCGAACATGGTATAAGTAAATAAAAGGGATCCACCTAAAAGAGGCTTTTCCGTCTTTTGTGTGCAAAAAATTTTGGAAGAAAAAAAGGGATCGAAGAACAGTGCGGATTTTCCCAGATCAGGAAAAAAAATGATTCGTTGATGTCACTGTCCTTTTGCGTTTGCTGACAACTTTTATAACCAAGGAACGAACAATGATAAAATATGTTTGTTGGTAGAGTAATGATTTTCGCTTTCAAATACGAGTTGATATGGTAATTACTTTAATTTCCAGTTCCCTAATTTGTTGTTAATAATACAATATTTTTTTGAAATATGTGATTATATTTATTATCATTTTGCATAGCAGCATCATATTAAACTTTATTTAATACAAATTGACCACTAAATATGCAAAACTCCCCAAACTCCGTGGCCTGTTAGAAGTATATGGATAATGCAAAAAGATGTATATATATAGGAATTTTGTTTCGGTAATAGGAGTCTATGACCTTTAGTTTTTAAAATATTGCTAACATTGTAATGCTGACGCATCTATTTGAACTAGAAAACGACTTTGCTGACATTTAAAAAAAACTTCATATGCACATATATCCTAAACCTCTTAACCTTTGAGAGGTGGTAAAGTTTTCAAAAATAAAATCTATATTTTTTTAATTCTTAATAAAATTTGGCGGGGGGGGGGGGCATTTCAAAAGTCTGGTTCATTGAACCCCAGTTGATACTATAGAAGAACTGAATGATCGTATAATAGCTTCTTGCGATTTAATAAGAAACAATGGAGGTATACCTCAAAAAGTCGAGGAGGAAAGCGTGTATCCGTCAAGGTGGAGGACGCTTTCCACAACTTATCTAGTTCCTATGTTTTACTTTTTTTGTTGTTAATTTATTAACAGACAATTTTCTTCAAAATGATTAACAGCATGAAGGTAGTGTTCTTTCATTTTTTCATTAATTCTGGATAAGTAAGTAAGAACAGTCTTCTAATATCTTTTTTTTGAAGGATACTAGTTGGTAACTAGATAGATATTTTATTTTTCACTAAAACAGTTCTCGATTTAACCTGAAATTAAATTTCTTTTAAAATGATTGGAGGTTGCAAGAATAATTTTTATTTTAAGAGAAATCAGTGGGGTACCATCAATGTTTGCTAAAATAGACAGGTGAATTTCCTTACGCCCGCCACTGGTGTATTTTTAAGAAATTGTGGTAAACCAAATAATGCCTATTAATGCATAGTACATGTGTGCCAAATTTCAATAAACATCTAAAGTGGTATTACAAATATAAAACAAAATAAATTTATTTTTGAAAACTTAGCACCAATGGCGTTTAGGACATTTGACATGAGAGGTTTTCTTTTTAAAATGGACCCAAAAATCGCCCCATTAATTACTGACATTCAATTAGAAAACACGTCGTATAGCATGTATTGTTAAAAATTACCGACGTAAGCTCAATTACACGATGTTTGTGACAGAATGTTTGGAAGTGACAATATTATAATTTGTTGCGTGTTAATATGGTATAACTGTAGTGAAATACGTTAATAGCAAAAGTTATTTGAATTGCGTGGTCTACAATTTGAGATCTACTACTAACACTACATAAAAAATATAATCCGTATCAATTTTCCCACAGAGTGTCTCAAATTTGCATTTTGATTTACTTCGGGAAAACACAATAAACTGAACTCATCAAACTTGAAGAAAGAATTGACTCACTTGAATTCATTTGATTATTTAAATGTCTCGAGCGATTTTCTGAGTATTCATTTATTTATTTTGATTGAGTTACGCAGTTTTTCTTAGAACATTTTGATATGCAGTATCCATGCTTTGGAGTTTATTCTATTTTCCACCGCCACACATGTAAATCAAAACATTGTTTTAAGAGTTTTGGTTTGAACAAAACCAATACGGAAAAACTAAACAAAAAAAGTTACCTATATCAACGGTCGGATGGGGGAGATCGGCACCCGGATCCTTGCGATAATCTATTTTTACATCGTGGGGTACGTAGAATGGTCCCCTGGGCTCTGAGTCGGCCAGGATTTTTCTTGTTCCTTCGTAAGAGCTCGAGATGCTGTCCAAGACATCACTTTTGTGGGAGTTGCGGCCTTTATAAGAGAATTTGAATCGCGCTAATGGACGTAGCTCCTCTTCGATATCCTCCCCATTTACCGAACCTGAAAAAGGGCGTAAAAAAAAGGTAAAGTAAAATGCTCCGCGGATAGAGCCGTCGGTTAGGTTTTACGTGCCGTTTTTTGTCGTTTATAATGTTTGTTCTTTTTTGCGGCTTAAAGGTTTATAGACACACGTAAGGTGCTCTAATGAGGGCTGTATTGTACTGTATTATGTACTTTATAAAATATAACGGATGCTTGTATTTTCAAGGCCAATAAAAACTTTCTTCTTTTAAATAGAACATCCTGTATATAAGGCATTTTGGATTTCTGGGTACTTTTTAGACAAATTTTATATACAGGGTGATTCATAAAGAATGGTCAATCTCTAAATGGCGAGACTTGACACCAAACTATTATGATTAAAGTTTAAATTTTATTCTGAATTTTCTAATTAATTAAGAAAGTTGTTACAGTAGGTATTTTTTCCGATCCGATCTAATACTGAAAAGATGAAAAGGTACGAGGAGTAATAGACAAACAATATTTAACAATAACAATTTTGGTTAGTTTTGGTTAGTTAGTTAGCAAAACGAAAAATTTGTTTCGCTTATCATACTAAGCAAACGCAAATTTCAGAGCCTTGAGTAAATTAAAATGGTGAATGAGGGTTAGCCTGAAAATTTAAAAACACCAAGAAAATGTTTCTTTTTTGATAGAATAAAAGTCGATAGGATGTAGGTAATTCACATAAATATGGTAAAACTTTCAAAAGTTGTGCTGTGGCGTAATTTGTGAGAATATTTGTGACATTGAAGAGTTACCAAATATTAATCGAATGGTCGTACTCTCTTCTGGTTTTAAATGCTGTCCTGTCCTTTTCAGATTTCACAAAAAAAATTGACTCTTTCAGAAACTGCAATTGGTTTTGCTGTAGATTTTACAAAAAAAAAAAACACAAACAAAAGAATAAAATAAATCTTCAAATTATTTTAATTAAAAATCTGAAGTTTTGGTAACTCTATAAAAATTTTACATATTTCTTACATTATCGTTTATGAAGTATTAAAAAAACGTTTGTAAAGTAAATTAAATGTGATTAAGTTTCCGTTTAAAGGTGTTTACTATGAATCCTCTTATTTATACGCTCCCGTGTATTAAATAATTTGCAAATGGCATTTTGTAAAAGATTTTCTGAACTAATTTGGGTAGCCACATAACTCTTACAATTGGTGTCATACAAGTTTAATGTAGGAATATTTCCTTTGAAATTCCGCTGGCTGAATGAAATTCGTGATATGGCACCTAATAATGCAATCAACAACCCTTGCAATTCAATTAAATAAAATTTCAATGGCTCCGATAGAGGTTTCAACGGAAACGCTAAACCTATTCGCATACGTGTAACAATATAATACATTACGTGACAATATATAACTCATTAACTAAACGGGAAATTTACATAGCTTTGGTTAGACCGTGTACGATTTCGATTGTGTCGAAGTGAAACGGATAGTGTATTGCTCAGCGATATTTAGAACCAATTGAAAACCATTTGGGGATCCGCAACAATAAAAAAAGTAAGCCAATGTTTATTACCCTATGAAGGCATAAGAGTGACAATAATCAAAAGCACTCTTCCGTTCTATATTATCACGCTTAAATCATTGCCTGGTTGCCATTGTCTTATATTTTAAATTGGAACTTGCAAATGATTTAGATCAGTAATATTTATTTATTTATTTATATTGTGAACCCGGCAAGGGAACCACAGAGGAACGATCGATCGATATTCGATACCGATTGTCGTGTTTCTAATATTTGACTTTTATAAATAAATAAGAAGTTAGTTCTACTTTTCTATTTATTCGGAACCTGGATAAATTCTACAACATTTATTTACTTAAAACTGTCTAAGAGGCATGAAGCCCAACTAACAGGTAGGTAGTATTAAATAGTTACAGAGACATTGCAAGTAATGATGATACGACGAAACTTAACCTAAAGCCTAGCCTAACACCAAGAAAATGGGAAAAGAAAATTAATAATTACAGTTAAGGGGGCAATAACGTTTTTACCTTAGTAATAGATCCAAAGCGTGCCGAGCATTGTACTCGGAGCACATTGTTAAAAAAGGCGAAAATGTGTTACTATGTATAGAGTTAATATAGGGACCAGAAAATTAAAAACATAAAGACATTAAATAATGGCAATCTTGGCGATCCCTAAGAGATACACAACCAAATCTATTTAATAATATTGTATGCGGAAAGCCTTGTCGGAGATATACTACTTCCAACTTATACCATACATACTTCAAAAACTTCCGCTGAATTTTTCCAGGCTATTAATATAACAATTATACCCAGGAGACCAAACCACTGATGCATACTCCAACTTAGACCTGACGTATGAGTTATATAATATTTTTATCAGTTCTGTATTTTTAAAGTCTCTGGTGCAACGTACGATAAATGCATAGCTTTTTGAGGCTTCTGCCAGTACCTTATTAACATGAGGAGCAAAGGATAATTTCGAGTAGAATATTACTCCCAAGTCAGAAAAAGTGTTACAACGGGAGAGAGTTTTATCAAAAAGATGATAGTCACATTTCACAGCTGCACGCATGTTGGTAAAAGAGATTACATTACATTTGGCTGTATTAAGGTGCAAGTTATTATTTACAGGCCAATTGTTGATTTGCTTCAAACTACGCTGGAGAGTAAAACAATACTCTGATCACCGGATTAAAAAAAATATATGTCGTCCGCATATATAACAAAACTGACATCAAGGTCCTTACTAATGTCATTAAACGAAAATGTTGAATAATAATTGAGCCTTGAGGAACGTCTGAGGAAGCAATGTATTCATCGGAAGTGTGACCATAGAGATAGACGTACTGAGTGCATGACACATGTATGAAGAAAACAAATTAACAAGCGATTCGAAAAACCCAAAGCCCCGGAGCTTGTAGATTAGAATTTTGTGATCTAGGCGATCAAACGCTTTTGAAAAATCAAGATATATGACGTCCATTTGAGATCCTTCATCAATAGCCTCGTAAATATGTTGGAGACTATTTGGTTCTTCACAACATGATATATTTAGTCTTGAAGGAGAGATTCTAAAACACAGATTAAAAAGTATTACAAGCGGTTTAGTCAAATAAAACAATAGTCATGTATAAGGAATGCTGGAAATAAATCTGGACCCATTGTAAATTTAGGTTTAATCACTTTAAGAGCTTTTTCGAAAACCATCTTTGTGTTTATATGTTCAGAGTGATGTCAATTACTAATACCATTATATTTTCTTAATATAGCACATAAATATATTATATTATAGTTAACCCCAGAAACTATTTTTCCATAATTAGATGCGACTTCAATACTGTCCTTTTAATTTATTCAGTAGCAACATATAGCTTTTACGTTTTTGTTAGGTACATATCTTATTAAAAAAACATTTATTTCCAGTGGTTTGGAGAAACTGTTAAGAAAAATGGAACCACATTTTCTCAGGAAATGATGCGGGCTTAAAGCCTTACTAGCAAAGAAATCAAATACGCGTGATAATATTGATACAGATAAAGTACCCAAAACTATTGAGTTTCGAAATGGGTCGCAAAGTTTTTTTTTACTTATATTATGTATAGATATGTTAAGAAATATCATATAAATGGTTTAAATTTATTGGTTTTTGTTACTAAATCATAAAAATTAGTAATAATTTCCTCCCGGACATTAATAGAAAATTGGTCTCAGTTTAGTTTAGTTTTTGCCCTCCATCACAGGATTATTAAGGAAATTTTGAACAAATCCCTAGAAAAATTTGTTTTATCCTGTGAACATTATTAGTGTTAGTAGTGTAGTATTAGATACGATTAGGAAGTCTTCCATGATAAATATTACTAATTCACCATATTGACAGACTAAAAAATTAGATTAGCTAAACAAAAAATAAAATCATGAAGATAATATAAATATTACTCACCTATATTATCTACATAATTTTATTTTTTTGTTTAGTTGAGGTAATCCAATTTTTTTATATTTTTTAAAACCTGTCAAATTACATTAGCTCAACCAAACAAAAAATAAAATAATAATATTTTTTTTGTTTAGTTGAGCTGCTCTAATATTTTTCATTTCACAACCAAACAAAAAATAAAATGATAATTTTTTTTTGATTAGTTGAGCAAATCTAATTTTTTTCATATTTTTTAGAATCTGTCAATATGGTAAATTATAAATATTTATCATGGAAGAGTTCGTAAACGTACCTAATACTACACTACTAACACTAATAATGTTCACAGGATAAAACAAATTTTTCCTTAATAATCCTGTGGAGGAGGGCATAAACTCCTGAACTGAAACCAATTTTCTTTTAATGTCCGGGAGGAAATTATTAGTAATTTTTATAATTTAGTAACAAAAACTAATAAATTTAAACCATTTATATGATATTTCTTAACACGTAAGTTATTGGGCCGTGTTGGCAAATGTAGAAATGTAGAAGTCTCATCAATAAGGGTGCATTTGACAAGAAAAAGCATGCAGAAACGATTAGACTCTCGAAAGAAAATATTCAACTGAAAAAATATGCGATAAAAATCGTAAATGGCACCACTGGTAGAAATAATAGTGGTGCACATATAGGTGTGCCTTAATGTACAGCACTTACCAAATTTTACAAAGATATCTAGAATCGTTTATTAGATAACATATTAAAAAATATATTTTTTTAAAACTTGACCACCCTGTTATACATTGAATTATCCATTGCACTTTTGACACACCAGTAGGGAACATCCTGTATAGTCATATTGGTAGGATGGTTTTAATATACAAAACCGACAGCCTTTATTTATTTATTTAAAATCATTCCGAATTGTGATTTTCCATTTTATGTTAGCGAAATAATTTTGGGATGAATAATACGGAATAGGCTATTAAAATGATTGATATTGGCGTTTGGATGCACACGAACGAATTTTTCTCCGCATCTTCAATTGCATTTTATCTATATATGTACTTATTAATTCATTGTAGCCTAAA